TTTTCGACCTTTTGACACACTGCATAAATAAATGGATTATTCGTTTATGAAATCGTAAATTTTAATAAAATGTTGGGAGTTTAACGCTATGCAGGATGTTTAATTAATTTGGGATTGTAATCACTGTAAATTTAATCGCAATTTTCAAATCATTTGCATTACAGTGATTTATTTTTTTGATGAGAATTATGGATTTTTCGTATCATATAGAGGTGTATCAAATGAGGGATAAAAGGATTAATTGTTTTGTCCTAAATTCTGACCATTTCAGATACACTATAATTTGGTAAAATATCTCCCTACCTGAAATTAAAATGGATTTGTGCATTAAATTCAAATTGCAAGTTATTTTATAAATTATAATCAATCATTTACACAAAATAAGTAATTTTGATTTCAATCCTTAATAATTTGGTCCTTGATAATGTCTAAAAATTGAAGTGTCAATAAAAACGTTTATTTAATAATTAGAATGAACTCAATCATTTTAATTGTAATATTTATATCAATAACTTTTAAACTTAAGGCAATGTTAAAAAATAAATCTTACAGTCAAAAAGATCATCATCAAGATCATCTGGGGTATCGATATCATCTGGAGTTGCAAGGTCATCTAGAGGAGATAAGACATCACTCTTGTTGCTCAAGGAGTCAATACTCCTTTTGATCATCGTCTCTCAACACGTCTGAACACAGAACGTCTGGATTCACAGTTATTTTTCTCCTGGAATCATTACCTTTAGAGTTTGCAGATAACAGAGTTTTTGGTCTCTCTAAAAATGAAACATTATTTAGACAACATTACTTTTAAACATAGTTTATATATTTTCACCCATTTATTAACTATTACAATCACGAATTTAAAAAAGCTATTTTAGGATAAGATTGAATGTATTATTTAAAGAAGAAAAATAAATAATATAATTTTTAAATAATGCTGTAAGTTAATTTAGGCCTAATATAATATGTTCGACTACTTTTAATACGCTATAAGATATTATAGCCCATTAAAATATTTCTGTATTCTCAATCATTGATAATAAACATACACAATTGAGTTGAAACTAGTTGAAGTATCCATTTCAAAATATAAGGTAACGTCTCGGCCTATACTAGACCTATAATGGCTTCAAGAAGAGGCCCCTTTCAGGATTATGGGAACACTTTAATTTTTATTTACAAGCACTATATATATATATATATATATATAGAAATGCAGAAATCTGGGTTATTAAACAAAAAGAAAATTAAAAATATAAATTTTGATCACAAGTGCACGATTAAATTCAAAGTACAGTTCACTCCAAGGTCGGAGATTTTCAGAATTATCGAGTCTATATAGAATCTCAAAATACGTGGTCTGCAGCAGACCTTAATTATCACACGGGTGATTGACGAAACCACAAGAAACCACTTTGAAAACAGGCGGAAACTTCGCCTATTCAGTCGCTTCAGAGAAAAAAAGAAAAACAACACTTCTGATCGACTCCTAGCAGAACTCTCCCCTTTCTTCCCCCAAAACCTCCCATTAAGAAAATCCTTCAGCTCCCTCTCTTTCCATTGGAGTACACATTTTCTCAGCTCATGGTCAATCGCCAATGACGATGGAACAACTCATGGTATAGTTCATATTCAATCTGTAGTTGTTTCAACCTGTGAAGGTCACATGGACAATCGCTAATTTCATGAGTCTTACTGCTCCAAAAACCTCCCTTTAAAAATTCCGTTAAGAGGAGGAGGGGGAGGTCAGCTTCTCTCACTTCTCATTGAAGCAGACTTTTTCTCTGCCCATGGTCTATTACCAATCAAGATGCAATAACTCATGGTGTAGTCCATATTTCATCTGTAATTGTTTCGACCTGTGAAGGTCGCACAAGCAATCGCTAATTTCATGATCTGTCTCATTATCCATGTCACTGAATATCTGCTATCAGATTGTTCTCATTAGTACAAAACACTAATTGCATGTAATATAGCTATCCACAATACTATCCATATGAGTGATAGGTTGCTATTATGTAATTGTCAAAGAATATACATTCCTCTCTCCTGGGAATGAAATGCTAAAACTCTTCCCGTGAGAAAAAATGCTCCAATGTTACCTTGAGCAAATGCTGGTGATCGTCCATCAAGAAACAAAAGCTATTCCCGTGTTGCATCTTATAAATGATATTTTGACTTCCAGATTTCCTTTCAGTTCAATAGTTTTCAGTTAATTGCATTTAAACACTTCAGCTTGTTAACAAGTACTTTGTATCACGAATTTTAAAGAGCGTGTTTGCTCAATATTCAAATTTTTTTATGAAGAATTATGAAGACGTATAATTATATTTAATATATCTATTAAACATGAAAAAAATTTAATTGTGTTTCCTTAGATACAAATTTTGTACATTTATTATACTACATTATTATAATTTTATAAATAAATATCAATTCCGACCTTTTCTGGAACGATGTGGCTGGTGATGGCCTTTTCCCATGATAGAAAATGTTGTCGATTCTTCTTCATCATCGTCTTCAGTATCAAGGCCCTACAGAGTAGATTAGTGTTTTAAAAATAATTGTAAAAGAACTTTGAAAAATAAGTGAACAAATGTTAAAAAAATTTCACGTGAATCTAATAACAATAAAAAAAAGCATTGTAAAGGAAATAGGGGAAAGGAAGCCTTATCATATAACAGTAGATAATGCTATTTAGCCAGCTGTCCAAAAAGGACTGACATGGTAGGAAAGGGGAATCTTTTAACAGAGCTCTTGTGATACAGAAGATGTTTGTTTATAGTCTTTTTTGTTAATGCTGTTTCAAGTACAGAGTTGTACACGCATACACATAAAACACATGGAATGTTTCGATTTATACGATTAGAAAATGTTTTATAATGTAATTTCTATTTTACGAAAAAAATATTGCCTACTCATTTATTTGATGCTACTTCATTAAAAGTATAAAAATATTTTGATTAAAAAGAAGGAAAATTGAAATTATTTTAAGATTGATTAAAGTAATTATTTGGATGGGACACAAAAAAGAAAATAATTACATTGTTCCGTGTTAATGAAAGGCTTATAATTATTTAATGGAATTTAGAAAATAAATGCACAGAAAAACTGAGGTCATTAGTGTACATTGATAAAAAAACGTATTTCCCAGCACACGCACGTGTATGTCGTTGAAAGAATCTCTTTTGTTTTCAATATTATTCATATATATATATATATATATATATATATATATATATATATATATATACTGAATGTATATTATATGTCTATATTGAAAATTAAAAAAGATCATTTACTCCTTTGTATCAAAATTTGAAGAACAGGAAATGAAAATTAATTAATGTTAATTTAAGCCTTTCCTAAAAACATGCTGTTTCAAGTACAGAGTTGTGCACACACACACACAAAACACCTGGAATGATTCGATTTATACGATTTGATTGAATGATTTGAAAACGTTTTATTATGTAATTTCTATTTTACGAAAAAATATTGCCTACTCATTTATTTGATGCTACTTCATTAAAAGTATAAAATATTTTGATTAAAAAGAAGGAAAATTGAAATGATTTTAAGATTGATTAAAGTAATAATTTCGATGGTACACAAAAAAGAAGAAAAGAATTACATTGTTCCCTGTTATTGAAGGACTTATAATTATTTAATGAAATATAGGAAAGAAATGCACAAAAAAAACTGAGGTCATTAGTGTACATTGATAAAAATCGTACTTCTCTACACACACACGTGTGTGTCCTTGAAATGATCTTTTTTGATATTCAATATATATATATATTGAAAATCAAAAAAGAGATAATTACTCCTTTGTATCAAAATTGGAAGGACAGGATATGAAAATTAATTAATATTAATTTAAGCCTTTCCTAAAAACATGCTGCTTCAAGTACAGAGTTGTGCATACACAAAACACCTGGAATATTACGATTTATACGATTTGATTGAATGATATGAAAACGTTTTATTATGTAATTTCTATTTTAGGAAAATATATTGTTTATTTATTTATTTGATACTACTTAATTAAATTATAAAATATTTTAAATAAAAGAACAAATTGAAATTTAAAAAAAATTGAAATTATTTTAAAATCGATTAAAGCAATTATTTGGATGGGACCCAAAGAAGAAAAGAATCGAATAGTTTCGTTTTATTGAAGGGTTTATAATTATTTAATGGAATATAGAAAAGAAATGCAGAAAAAAAAAACTGAGATCATTAGTGTACATTGATAAAAAAAGTATTTCACAACACACACACACACGTGCGTGTTAGGAAATACTCTTCCTTGAAAATGATCTCATTTGATATTCCATATATATATATATATATATATTGAAAATCAAAGGAGTTAATTTAATCCTTTGTATTGAAATTAGAAGGAAAGGACATGAAAATAAATGAATGTTAATTTAAGCTTTCCTTAAAAACATGTGACTTGGAAGATGATTATAATATTTAGCAACTGTGCTTCCCTCCTCAAATCATATTTTTATAACTTTTCAATGAAACACCAAAAAACAAAAGCAAAATTTTATACAGCAACAGCGACCACGAAGATATAGGGAATATACTATAGATGGATTAATCATTAACAAGATCAAACAGAACTTTTAGCCATAATATATACGAAACAACAACAACAACATATATATATATATATATATATATATATATATATATATATATATATATATATATATTTCTTATCCCACTTGGCAGACATTTCTAGGCCAAGTCCACGAGCCCATACGTACTCATGATTGAAGGGGAAGGAAGCAGCTTCTGTTGTGATGGAGCACCCGTAGGTAGAAACCTGACTTTTGCTCCGTGACGCTTTTACAGTCATATGAGACCGGGACCTAAGCGCTTAAAGTGGATTCCGAACCACTACAAACATCCATGGCACCGCCGGGACTCGAACCCGAAACCTGTGGCACTCACACTCGGCCATTCAGGCTCCAATTTTGAATGCCAACGGCACGCGGTGTTCCTAGGTGGTCACCCTCCCAAGTACTGCCCCCGACCCGATGATGCTTGACTTCGGTGATCGAACGAGAACAGGTATATTCAGCATGGTATAGCCGTTGCCATATATATATATATATATATATATATATATATATATTTGGTCTTAAAAACTGAAAAAAAAAAAAAAACCTCCAATCATTAGAAAGTCGTTTTTAAAATGCAGTAACTGAATCTCTTACTTGAGCTTCTCTACTTCGCTTCTTCAAAAGTTTCAGGTGCAAAGGGCTGTCAGGAAAGTCGACAGTCTCAGCAAAATAAACTCCTGTATCATGAGCATCCTCTTCCGGATCTGAATCTGTGTCTCGACTTCCACTTTGCAAAGGATCTGAGAACTGGGCTTTTTCTAAAGTTTCTTCTTTTTCTGTGCCGCTGCAAATAAAATTGAATTAATCCTAAGAAAATAGAGAAAGGCTAAAGTAACACTTATATGATGGCATAAATAAGGTAAGGATAATTAATGAGATATTTGTTTGCGCGTTGGAATACGAATGAGAAGCTCCATCGTGTTGGAACCACATGATGCCCTCGATCTTGTATCTCAACATTTGCTGGAATGTCGTCAAGTAAGCTGGAAAGAACCTGCTCTAGAAATATCCGATGCTTCGCAGCGGTCATGTGGGGAGGGTAAAGGTACGGCCCGACTAAGCAGTCGCTGATTAAATCTGCTCACCCATTACTGCAAAGCAATGCTGTGTTGCGTGGTGCCCCATACTGTGGAGGTTCTCTTCAGCCCAAAAATGCTCATGGTGCTGATGAATATGCTATCCTATAGAGATGCTTTCCTGATATGGTCATAGAAAACAACAGAAATGAGAGGTCACCACTTAAGTGAATACGTGATTATTAATCAACGTATATTAATAAAACTAGAACCTAACGTGTACCCCAATAAAGAATCTCCTGTTATTTTCTTTATTCCCTGCTACCTTACAAGATTAGGAATCTGAATTGAATATCTTTTATATCTTTCAATATTCGCATTTGATTCAAATCTTTTGATTTTAATTTTGATAAAATTAAATAATTATTTTCATATTCCGGAAGTGTTCTAATTGTTAATAAAAACAATTACTTGTTTAAAAATAAATATTTGAAATTTTGCATAAAATGTTCAAAAGTATAATTAGTTGCAGGTCTTAAGTGTAGGATGTCATAGAATATTAGGCACGATGGCTAAATAGTAAAAACTTCTCTAAAAATAAGCTATTTTAGGCTTATTTAAATATCACCAATTTTCTGTTAAAATTTTAAAGAAAGGAACTAACATCATTATTTGGGATTTTTATATAATACTTCATTAATTTTACAGGGCTGTGATGTTAAATTATACGATTGTATTAAAGTGAATGCAGTTCGGTACAAAAATAATTTGATATACTTTTAAATTCAGAGGAAATACATAAAAAATATAATTAAAATTCCAATTGAAGTTATCAGAACCTGTTTAAAGGATTATGATTACTCGGGGCCCAAACATTTCTATATTCTTTGCATTATTTTTATTTAAGAATTAATCCATAATATTATGGTACCAGAAATAATTATATGATGCCAAAAGGAATTTTCAACTTAATTATTTCTGTATCCAATTTTAAAAGGAGGAAATAATAATGATAAAAGAAGGAAATGATAATGATAAAAGAAGGAAATGATAATGATAAAAGAAGGAAATGATAATGATAAAAGAAGGAAATGATAAATGAAAGAAATGATAATGATAAAAGAATTAAATGATATAATGATTTGGATTAACTAGTATCCAGCTAGTACAAATAATATTTAGAGAAAAGTAATAAAGATGTTCTTTAATACCAATGAACGATGGATCCGAAATTTTCATTAAAGTAAATAAATATTTGGTTTGAATCTTTTGATAAGGGGGATATTTATTACATAAAGAAGTTAAAAAATAACAATTTTTTACCAATCCTTAGAAGTTTCGCAACTATCTGGTGACGCTTTTCCACTTGCAACATCAGCATCGCAATCTTTCGGTTTTGTCAATCGGTTATTCTTCAAAACAACACTTGGAGTCAAATCCTCCGTCATGCTAAAATAAACAAACTTTATCTTTAAAAACAACACTCAAAATATTTATAGGGTACAATTTTATTAGAGTAACACTAATTTCTCTTTTTCTTCGTTCATGAAGTAGAAAATATATCTTGAGGAATATAAATAAACAAATGGAAATAAATATTTACTCGAATTCAGCATATTTTCTCCATACTAATATTTAAATTATCATTATTAGAAGCATACAATAATAATTAATGTTATAACTATACAGATTATTACTAAGTGATAGAAAATATTTTAGAGATAAATCTTGAATTAAATTGGATGCAGCAAGAAAAATATTTTGTTATTTTATTTGAAAGTAAGAAAATAAATTTTCTTTTTGAAAATTATTTAAAATTTATTTCATGGTTAAATAATTACAATTAAATTTTTAATAATGGTTAAATAATGTGGTTTGAAGCTATACATTAAATGTTTACCTCTTAGATTTTTAATTTTAAAATAACACAGAATAAAGATATTATTTCTGTCATAAATTTAGTTGCGATTATAAACTTGATTAATATCAATTTTAATTAATTGATGCCAACTTCGTTTACAAAACAATGATTTGATATCCATCAATCATTTTAAATTCATGATGTTTACAATTACATTTTTTTATTAAAAATTGCAAGGTGCACAGCAAAGTACCACACGAGGCTTATAAAAGTAAGTAACAAACAAATCCATAACCAAATTTTACAACACCAAAGAGTTAATAAATTTTAAATACAGTACATTCATTACAAGAGAATAATAAAAATGGAGAGAGAGAGAAGATTTAAAAAGCATTAAAGTAAGAAATGACAAATTTACGAAAGGATATAAGAAATTTTCTTATTAATAAGTTTACAAAAGTTTGATAGTGCTTTTAACTTTTGAGAGTTTTGTTCTTCTCTAAGTTTTTCTAAGGTGTTCAAGAATAGTTGCAGCTAAAAAGGTTGTGATTACTGTTCTTCCTTTCACATGTATTATAGTATCACTTTATTTTGATTATTAAAAAGATATATAACGAAGATTGGCAAAATATGTTACATGGCACTAAAAAGGAAATTTAACAGATTAAAGATAAACATTTAAAAATTCTGAGATTGAAGTTTTCATTAATCATATTTATTTTTAACACTACTTGAAGTTTCTATTAATTACGAATAAAATGTAACCTGTGAATAGTTCTGAAAATAAGAAAACAAATACATTATTACAGTTATTAGTTATATTTTTGTCCATTTATAGTACAAATAAATTATTATTATATTATTATGAATTATTAGTTCAAATATTATAGTTAAGTGAAGTAATTTAGTATTAAAATAATACATTATTGATTGACTTCAAATTAAGTAAGGAAATCAAACCCAGTATTTTAAAAATATCGCTCCATAATAACAATTTATGAAATATTTACAGATGTAAATAAAATATTATTTCTTTAATATCATATACAAAATAGTAAACGAAAGGTATAAATAGTATATAAAAAATAAATATTTTAATACTCTTCAAACTTATGTTAAAAAACATTTCTAAAATGATATAAGATTGGTTCGAACAGTCTAATTTATTATTTTTTCAATTTATATCTTTATAGAGTATAAATATTGTAATTAGAAACAAGATAATTAAATTTCCTTGCAGTATCTTAAGCAGTATCTTACGGTTCCTCACATTTCTGAAATGAAAAATCAATATCACCAATTTCAGAAAAATTTATGCTATTTAACCTTGTAAATTGAGTTCCTTTCAACTACAATTCTCGAAAAATAGACAGATTCCTTTGTTGTTTTTTTAATCAACATCATTTGAATAATTATCCCACCTCGTAATAATCAACTACCCTAAAGCATTAGAGTAAACAAAGATCACTCACTTCTATGCAAGCATGCGTATTGAAGAACTGCAGCGCCACCACTCTAATTCTATCTTGTTTCGAAAGTCATTTCAGGCCATTCCAATTCGTGAGCTGGGTAATAAGAACCTTAATCTTTATCTTGAAAAACTATTTCTCCGACCACTAAGAATCTTACAGATTTGGAAAAAACTATTCGGCAGATTATAATCCCCAAAATTATGTTCCCAACGGCATCTTGGAACCCCGTATGCTTTACTTAATCTAATTTAGCTCATCCTAAGAACCTGGCAACGGCGAGCATCACAACAGCAGTGGTTGCCATGGTGATTTAATTCGGTGAAACCGAGTTACTAATGAAAATCTTTCATGGCCGCTAGCTAGGACATTACTCAGCCACCGTTTAATAAATATCATCGTCTTGCGAAATATTTTCCTAATTAAATAAATGTAAGTTGTTGGTAATATGCATGAACCTTATAGGCATATTTAGCTCCTGATTCTGCAAATTAAATTAGGTTGATATTCGTGTCTTTTAATCTATGGAATAATGTGTTTGTATTTGGTGAAAATCTTGAATTGTAAAATTAAAAGAGTTTGACTTTTACTAAAAGTTAAGTCCAAAGTTATTGTCAGTAAAATTAGTATAAGTATTGACTTCATAAAAAATATTTCTCGTCTTAGATAAAAATATTTTTCATTCCTAAAAAACCATATTAATTAGCATGCAACCGTATTTTGTTTATGTATGCGAAATTTCAACTTCCAGTATATATATATTTATAAATATATAAAACACGACAAATTTAATAAGTAAAAATATCGTTTCACTCTTAAAAGTGCATTTCATTCGTTTTAAAAGTGTTGTTTCATAGAATTTTTGCGGTTTAAAGTAGTGGTTGCTTATTATAATGAACGAAAAAAAAACAAGAAAAATTTATTATAAAGCTCTTATTGTAAAACAAAATCTATAAAAGAGAAGGAAACATTATTTATTAATATTCTTATTATTAACAATTAACAATTTTATCATCAATCAGTATACATTTATTCCCTTTGCACACATTGGCAGGTATTTATATAATTTGAATATTTAATTTTGTAAATAATGCACTAAAATAAGGCAATGCTTAAAAACTACTTA